GCAACAAGAATGAAGGGAAATCCAAAGTCCTTGTAAACTTTCATTAAAATTAATTTTTTTAAAAAAAAGAATTATACTGGGTTCATTTTTTAAAATATTTTTGTTATTATAACATCTAATTTTTAAACATTAGTGAAAGTTTTCCAGAGTAATTGTTTATTATTAAGGGATGTCTTCATCCTTGATGTTTGAGATTAATGCTTTTCTTATTATCTATATACCTGTATAATAAGTTCTCTACTTCTGTGTTACTAGGTAACAGCACAACACTAATGATAAAATTTAATATGATATTTAGTTCTTCATGCTAATATAGTATTATCTGTTTTAATATCTATTAATATGATATTTAGTTCTTCATGCTAATATAGTATTATCTGTTTAACTTTTAGTATACTAGTATATTGGTAAAAAGATGACGTGTCACATTTGAAAGTCTAGTATGTTTACAGAATCACAAGTAAAATCAAGTAAAAGAGTCACTGACATAAATATGTCCAATGATTGAACACCAAAATAATTTAACAATCCTGATACTGAATATTTTATTAAATCAAATTAACTAATTTGTAGCATTTTAAATAATCTATTTTTTCATCATCACAGGGAATGGCATCAGACCCAAACTTTCTATTACAGTGGAATCCTTTTGTTGATGGTTCAAATACTGGCAAGTAAGTTGTTTTCTAACTTAATAATGATATTTTACTTTATTTCATAGGTGTAGTATTGGAAGGGCCAGTGATATATCCCCAGAAAATGTCTATTTACTGTCTTTGAAAAATTGTTCTATACTTCATGTAAAGCTTCTACTTTTTTCTTTCCAAAAAATTATTTAGTATTGATCATTAATATTGTTTAGTTTTTAAGTCAGAATATATATGTGTGATGTTGTTGTTATGTGCCGTCGAGTCGCTTGCAACTCATAACGACCCTATGTACATCAGCCCTAAACTCCACTCTGTCCTGTGCCAATCGCACTGTCTCTGACACTCCCATCCCAATTATCCCAGTCACTGAATCAATC